ACATAACAGAATAGCACTTTTTTCGAATTACACTTCATGGGTTAAAAATCCTTCATTAATAGTTCAAAAATTTACAAGTAAGTGAGGAATTGAAACATAAAAGAGGACCAGAACTGTAAATACTTCAAAGGTGAATTTAATAATACTCAACTTGAAACTGACAAGTTTCAAGAAATGCTTGTGTTCAAAACGTTCACTTCTCACTTGCCCAGATGTGTACAGCCAGCAAGTTGGCGTCTGAAAACTGCATTCTTTCCATTCAACATTTCTTGTCTTGTAAAAAAGCACACTAAGTTATTCATAGTATTTTGTGCCGGTCAAGGGCAGAGCGAAAACGCAGACTGCACACAATACGCACAGGCGAATGACAGCTTACACACGGCTCCCAGCATTACAGCGAATTCTTCCGCACGCAATCGTGGCATGGCAATAAATTACCCTCGCTCGAACCCGACCGAAACGCTGTGGACCCAAATCCAAAAATACCAGCCCCAAACCCAATGAAACCCCTCACTGTACACCACCCAGGCCCTGCCTTGTCAAAAGGGGTTAGAAATCGAGCTCTTCTCACCTGAGATCGCGAGGAAAGAGTGACATTCTCCGTCCGCTTCAGCCGTCCTGGCCTAGCCACGGCACAATCTCGGTCGCCATCTTGAATAATTGTAAATTGTTTGCGATATCGCGTTATCGATAGTGCGGCCGGTACGGTACCCACAATCCAACGCTCCAGCGATAAAAATCGAACTGCCGTTTTATGTCTCAAAATAGTTTTAAACAGTTTTTAATCATCTATTTTTCTCCACCACTTTTAATCCAGCGATAATGCAAAGTGTCTCCTTTTATTTCTGATAAACTAATCTAATATATTTTTCCCTTTTGCATTAAAGCAATCTCTAATGTATTTTTTTTTTCTGTTGGTAAATTTATTGCCGATTATTCGAGTAAAAATTGCGACATCAGTAGCCTTTGAGTGAACCTAGGTAACCTCTGCCCCCGACCTGACGTGTTTCTTAGCCAAAATGTAAACACTTCGAAGGTTCTCTGGACTTTGACTCTTCAGTGAATAAATCAAAAATCAGTGGCGTCAACGGTTCATAGATTTCTGTCGAATTCTGAAAGATCTGAATTTCAACATCATAGTGATCACCTAAGCTCCTGTATTATGCAATTAATGGAGTTTCAAAAAATGCCGCGGCAGACGAAAAGTAGCTGAGCACGAAAAAAAGTCGGACAAATGAATTTGTACATTCGTCTGTGTGCTATCATTTTAATGTTATTTTCAAATACAGATATGTTTACTCAGAGAAACTGTTTGATGCAAACCAAGGTATTTTAGGCTATTTTGGGAATTCTTGGAAGCTTTTATCTATATTTCTGCTTTATATGACCAGACGTAAACGATGGCGCGGCCCAAACGTGGTGCATTTTGAGTTTTTTCCTCTGGTGCCTTGTTAATGTTAGAGCAAAACCTGCTCCTCAGTTTTCACGATAAGCGAAGTTTATCAAGCTCTAATCATTTCTGTTCATAAACCAGGAGTTTATTCACCCACCACAAAGTTCCAGTGAAATTATACTCTGGCATGATTTTCCAAATTTTTGGAAACATGGCCTTGTGTTAACAAGGCCATATGAAGGTAATACCAGGCCTAGTATTGGACGAATTGGAAGTTTTTAACAAGGAAGTTTAGCAACACCGCATGAGGAAAGTCGCAAGAGACGCCGAAGTGTGTCCTTTTTGGGGACTCAACTGTAAAGTAGCAACAGTTGATGGAACAGGGTCGAAAAATGTCATGGAAAAAGGAATATTCTTTCGCGCTTTTATAAACATCCACCCAGTCAACGAACAGTCATCAAACAAACATGCACAATGTTGGTTTCTAGATGCGTCTCGATTGTTTGCTGTGTACAGCACAGTCCGCCAAGTTCAAGAAGAGGGCGCCCTTTAGAAAATAAGGACCGGGAAGTTGCCAGTGGAAAAGTGGTCGAGTTTCCGGGCGGTCTGTTCTTGACACGGGTTTCTTGTTCTCGCGCTCAAATGGCGGGAACACGACTCAAGAACATTGTTCTCGGAACAGGATCACACACCACCTCCTCGTCAGGGTTTTACAGGAAACACGGAAAAACTCGTGAGATTTTGATTTTTGGACAGCTGCAAAAGAGGAGAGGTGGCTTCCAAAGCCATAGACCATGTAGGGAATGGGAAGGTTTGCAACATTAACATTAATTATTTTCCCAAACACAGAAATGAATGTTCCTGTTTATATGGAAAAGAATTCAACCCATCCAAAACTTAACTCTTGAGTAACGTACGTGGACACCGCCATCTTGCATGTTGTTTGTTTCTTCCAGGCGTTCGAGCGGCCGACCCACAAATAACAAATCGAACTGTTCGTGAACATACGGGAACAAGCCGCCCGAACTCTTGAGTCAGCCACTAGTGAGTCCGAGTCCACAGCCTCGTCAAACAGAAATTGTGCATTGGGTCTGACGTAGACCTGACGATAACAAACTTTTTTAATTCTTGAATTCTTAAACACAAGTGGACTAACTGTATTTGGCTTTTTAGGTGATTTTAATATCAGTTTCGAACAAACCCCGAAGCTGAGCTATATCGGTTTACAATGAATAAAAGTACCTTTCAAAGCTTTTATGTTTGAATTTAGTAATAATTAGATTGAAATGCATGAATTTAGTAATAATCAGATTGCAATTTATGCATTGCAATCTAATCATTACTAAATTCAAATGTAAAAGCTTTGAAAGGTAATTTTATTTATTGTAAACCGATACAGCTTAGCTTCGGGGTTTGTTTGAAACTGATATTAAAATAGCGGTCTATGACAAATTGAAAATTACGATTATCTTGACATTTTCTTTTTTTAATTGTTGGAAAATTTGTTTCGCTTGTGCAAAGTTGTTGATTTGTCTGTTTTCTTGGTTAGTTGGGGATGGGTGACTTGTAAAATACCCCTTGTCTCCTGTACCTTACATGACCTAATGAAGTAATACTGAGAAAAGTTAAGGGTATTTTGGGGAAGGGTGAATTGAAAAATGTCTCATGAATAACTCTCATGATATTAACAAGAAAACTAATCGCAAGAGTACAACCTTTTTTCCCAGTGAAACCCCTGAGCGAAACACGCGAGGCCAGAACGAATTAAATAGCGCCACCTGGAGACCCCCGTAAACATAAAGGCCTCTCGTGTTTCGTTGGAAATTCAACATTATTATGACTTCATGATTATGGAACCTCTAACTGCAAATACTTGTACATGTAAGTCAAAAAGAAAAACCCACAACAAAAAAACAAAAAAAATCGTTTTTTGTTTGGTTTGAAAACGAAAACATAAACGGAACGCAAAAGTTTGTTCGTGTTTCCATTTAAAAACGCAAATAGATAAAACCTCTTTTCGTTTTTTCTTTGAAAACGAAACACAGTAAAACAGAAACATGTCCCTTTTTCATTAAAAAAAAGCGATAATCAATATTTGTTTCTCTATCTTTACGCTTGTGGAGAACGAGAAATGGTTCTGGTTCATTTTTTATTTGAAAATCGTCAAAGTTCTCTCTAGAGGCAAATGAGTGAACAAAAGTACTCTCAACTCGAAAAGAGTGAACAAAAATCTAAAACAGCGAAAATGCCTCTGAAAGACAAGCCATTCCTCTTTTACGAAGTGTCCTCCATACCGCTCCCCGGCAGGGTGGAAATTCTACTCTTTTGGAATGGGTTTTAGACGGGACTCACTCTTTTTTGAGAGTGATGAGTGTGCCTTTAGAGAATTTTAGGCCGCCAAATTACGTGAATCAAGCATAGCTGAAAGAGAGGATCTTTTCAAATTGTTTGTTGTTAACACAGTAGCAAAAAGAGTAATCCACAAAGAAATTTCTCACAGTCAAGAAAGGAGCTTCCATCTAAAGAAGTGCGCTGGGCGTGTATAGTTGCTTCTCTTTGGCGATTTCTCCGCATGCATCCCAATTCTTACACAGTCTCAATTTGGTATTATTTTGGTTTCATTTCTTTAATGCATTTTGCTTTCAACTTTTGCTAAAGTTTATTTTCGTTGACTGCATCAGAAAATAACGGACGTGGTTCGTGTTCACTGCACCTGGCAAATCAAATAGAATTTACATCGTAGACTTAAGGGGTTTTTATCTGAAGATGCCGTGGCTACTGACCAAACCTTAATTATAAATACGGTAGGGAACCTGCTTACCTCGTATTACGAGTCCTGTCAAACAAAATTCGGGTTAAGCCTAAAAGAGCCGGGTTATTTTGGCTTGTCTCACAGCCGGGGGAGCGGATTCCGCCCCCCCCCCTCGGCTTTGCAATGCTCGATTTTTCTGAAACTTTGCATGCGTGTGAAGACACTTCTTATCATTACAAAGGTTTGAACTCAAACGTATGGTTTTTGTTGTTGCAGTCATGTGAAGTTACTACATACGAGCTAGGCCGCGTGCAGCTGAGCACCGTGCGCAGTGGAAAAAGTAGAAATGGGCTGATCTGCGTGTTCCGAAAAAAATGCGAGCTGGTTTCCAAACGACCGCAAAGAACTACTCCAAAACCTCCTAAAAATCCAACTCCTGAAAGAAATGCACTGCAGCGATATATCTGGAAAAATTTCGAGCGGGTGGATTCCGCCCCCCTCGCTCTTTTAGGGTTAAAAAATCACTTTCTTTTTTCGTTTTTAACATGCAAAAACGAGAAACGATTTCTTTCCCTTGGGCCACTTTTTCGCTTTCAAATAGAAAAAGAGAGAGAATATATGTACTTGCTTTCGATTTTAGTTTCCCCTTCCAATTGAAAAACAAAGAACCCTTTTTGAATTTGTATTTTTCGTTTTCTAATTCGTTCAAAAGAACGAACTAAAAGAGCACGGACCAACTAGACGTGTTAAAAGAAGGCCCCGTAAATTCGAACGTGCGCCCTCATAAACTTATCTTATCTGCCCTTTTTAAAACTCGGTTTCAATATAATCGGCTTCATCCCCGAATTAGCGGGTCTCAAATGTCAAGGCTTGGTGAAAAAAGCTCTACGTATTTGGATTCCTAGTAGTACATGTACATGTATGCGGTTTGGATTTTTACAAAATTCTGAATACATTTTTCAAGTTGGCCAAAGTTGGAGTTTGAAGCCACTGTTGGAGAGTAAGCAGGAATTTGAGAAATGGTGATCCACATCAATGCATCGATCTCTTAGATCTTACGCGTTACACAGTCCAAGGCCAACTCCGTACTCGTAACTCACTGAATATTTGTGCGTGCGGGATCGTAGCGTTGGACCGTTGACCTTATGTGCTGGTGAAGCCGATCTTGTCAGCCGTCCCTCCCTCGAAGAAGCAGACTCTCTCCTGGAAGGTCAGTTGAATCTCCTGTACTGCATGTACCAGGTAAGAAGTCCATATACGGACATCACTTATTTTCCCTTGCAGTGGTTTATTAGCCATCAGAAAGTGATGGAGTTTAAAAAGTGAAATTTAGCAGGGAAAATATTGAAATTTGAAGCATTTAGAAGGTAGCAATTGCATTCATTCGTGATTTTCATCGTTCATCAAGCCATCTGCACTGTGCACAGAAGGATTGCCACAATTTTCTCTATTCCTAAGAACCTTCGCAGAATAGAATAAATTACCCTCTGAAATTGGTCAAGCACAAAGCACCAGTCTTTGCTTGGCCCAAGGTTAAGTCAATGCTTCAATTTCTAAATCTGGATGATATCATCGGAGCTCATTTCATGATGCATGATGTAGGCCTAGGCTAACGCCGCTCAGTCACCTTGCGCCAGACAAGTCTTGCACTAACTTGTCAGGTGTAGTTTGTGCACGGGATGTCTAGCCAGTCAAGTGATGTCTGGATATGGGGACTCTTTTTTTCTCTTGTGTTATCCCATGTGTATTTTACCACACATTTACCCATAATTATTCCATGGCATTTAAGCTGGAGAAATGTCAGTCATTACACTGATCTCTGGAGCAGCACACCTGGACCATGTCCATTTTGCAAATGTTTGCAGATAATCGGATTAGGATCATCAGTTGTTACTTTGTCCCTCAGAATCCAAGACTTGAGTAAATAATAAAAAGACTTACCCTGCAAGAGCTACCATTTTTTTGGGTCAAAATCAATCATATTATTTTTTATTTTCTGTGTGCTTTTCAGTTTTGATTATTTTGTTTGCTTTATGTTGGAAATTGATGATGTTCATTTTTGATACCCACCAGAAAAAGACTGAATAGATTCAGTTGAAATTTGAAGGAAATGAGTGGTTTGATGCCCCTTCCAGAATGCTTTCATTCATCAAGAGAAAGTTTTGTCTGACACATTCAAAGTAACAAATTGAAATCATTAATTTTAATGCAAGATTATCTGAGAACATGAAAAATTGTATAGAAATTCTTTTCTATTGTATGATTTTATAAATGTCCCTGGGGGCATTTTATCTGAAGTATTTTTTTCTGTCCCATGTTTTCCCCTAAATGATAATTGTTTTGAAAAAAAGTGTATTACAAATTTTTGCATCCATTACACAGTAACTGTGAACTTTGGATTACAAATTACACCATATGAAGGAGAAGGGTTATTAAAAACAAGCAACCACCACATACATGTGTACATACATTAACAGTGTATTACCATTCAAGAGAATGTTCCGTTTCCTCATCTACATGTACAGTGTGTACATGTACCTCCGGGAATTTATTCTTTTGTTTCCCATGGATGTACATGTACAGTTTTATCTGTAAAATGTGACCAAGTTGATTTCATGTGCCGTAGTTAGAGCGCATTCAGTTCTGTATCGCACATGTACTTTGAAATAATATTGCCACTGAAAAGGAGAGTTTATATCTGATCCTTACTTCAGAAATTATTCTAGGAGAGAAAGCCGCTTTATTTGTGGGTGTTTTAATATAGCTCCCACAGCCCAACTGACATGATGCATGTTACCATTTTTGTCGAACGGGATTGGTGGTTGAATTCATGTGTGGTGTGTTATTTGCTGGACACTGCTAATGCACTTGAGGCTTTTCCGGCGTACGTGCAGAATGTCAAAGGAAAGTTTAAAACCAATATTACCGGCGTAGTAGCACGTGTGGCTGAATTTAGGGTGAGTTGAATATTAAAATGCCAGCTCTTATCAGTGAATTGAAATACTGGAGAACAGTGCAAAGGTTGACTGTGCAAAGTCTGGTTTCGATTACAATATTGACCAACCATAAAATTATCATTGAGGAGTTTTTATCCATTTTTTGTTTCCATCATATCTGACCCCAAGTTTAAGTGTGAACTGGCGTTGTTTTCATGAATGTGCTGAAAAATTTATGTTTTGCAACTACATTTTAAATTTCACAATGATATACTTGTGCTAAGAGTGTAATTAATTTACTGAGAGCAGTGTTTCTCATTAGAAATCAAAAGACTAGAAAAGACTCTTTGATTTGAATATTTATGGAAAGTTTTCATTGATTCGTTGAAATCATTCAAGTTGGTACCAGTCAGTTCTTCTATGTTACGGGACCAGTAGCTCTGAAAAAGTCTTTTCTAGGAAACTTTAACAATGAACCCTAAACCCCATTGATGCATGGTGATATTATACTGTGATCTGAAGCTTTGAAACTGTTAGAGTTGAGCATTTATGCAGTATCATCTGCATGCCAAAGAGTTTATTGGAGAAGAGGAACAGGATTTTATCATGTTGTGGTTGGGCTATGGATACGTTTTGGAACTCACAGGATATATGACGTAAAGTAATGTAACCACATTCCACAATTGTATTTTGTGCAACATTTTCAGAGGAACAGGATTTTATCATGTTGTTGTTGGGCTATGGATACGCTTTGGAACTCACAGGATATGTGACGTAAAGTAATGTAACCACATTCCACAATTGTATTTTGTGTGCAACATTTTCTTTAATCTGATTAGGCCATCGCTTGAAATTTACAAATCAGGGGTTTTGCTTTACCCCCCTTTTGGCTTCAAGCAAATTCCCCATATCGGTTCTTATAAAATAAACAGGCAGTTTCATTTATAGAGCAACCAAGTCTCAGATTTATGTTGGACAGAATGTCCACTACTGACAAATTCCCCAGCAGGATTGAATTGAACTGTCAAAACACACAGCATGCCCTCCACATCCATTCTGCCAGATAATTCATTCCAGTGAAGGACCACAGTTCATTTTTTAAATAATCTCTATGCATGAAGTCCCATTGAAATGGTACCATTTTAATTAAAAACAAGCTGTGAAAAGCTAGTATGAACTCCAAGGGGGGAAAAAAAGAATAAAACGAACCCCAATCCACATTGACCGGAATTACAAATTAATTTTTTTAAATTTTAATTTCTGCAGAATATATGTTGCTTGGAATTTAAACTCCTCTCTCTTGAAATACATGTTTACTGCCAAAGTAATGTACATTTGATGAACACAATTTTTCCTGTAATAAGACAGCTCCATGTGGAGGTGTGTGTGTACCGATATATTCAGTCATTAACAAAACTTTTAATTAGAAGTAATCATTATGGATTGCTACTGGTATGTACCGGACATGCCTATGTGACCTGTCACCACACAACTCGCTGAAAGTCAGAATTTTCAAAAACTAAGAAATTGGTATTTTGGAATACAGCAGAAAGAGAGCTTTGCAGTGGTACATGGAACACTTACATGTACATGTAGGATAAAAGTATAAGGTGACAATGTCAACTTTATTCTGGCAGCTTTGCGTCTTTGTTCCTGATATTGTTTCAACATTTCAGACTAGGCAAGAATAATGCTATCATCAAAAATGCTGAGAAAATGACATTTTTTAGTTAAATATGTGATCCTGCGAAATATTTGGAATTATATGTAAATAAGAGACGAGTTACTCTTTTCCAATATTCCAAATCCCCAAATCTACTTCAATATGACTTTGAACCCTCAAAATAGAAAAAAAAAACGGAATGTGACTGTACTCTCATGTTGTTGTGATGGGTTACATGTATGCAAAAGTTTCAAAGCATTGCAAGAAAGCATGGACAGGCAATGCCAGGCAGGAAATATGCAGCTACATGTACATGTACAGTACATGTACCTTAGGTCTGCCACAGGTCTGTCCATTGTTTTGTTTGGCTTTTTAGTAGACAAGGTTGTCGATATTTATACCCCCCAGGACCCCTGACCATGCACTGACTGCATGATCAGATATGAATTAGGTGGCTGTGTACTTTGTGCAGCCATGCACGGAGGCTGGTCTGAGCATCCAGGCAATGGGTCAGTGGTATTGCTTATGTCATACAATTTGCATACACCTGTACTGTTCCTCTGTTTGGGGCCCTTTGTCCACAGATCACCTTGAAAGCCTACATTGTGTAATGTACATGTAGCAGTATGCATTTGTGTGGTCTCATCAATACAGAGTGGAAAACTTTCTGGCCTTCAACAATTAGCACCCTGCCATATGGCACATGTACATGTACAAATGCAGTAAATTGGCTGGAATGTACATGTACATTAGATGGTATATATATGCATGAACATGTACATGCATGCATACATGTATTTGGTGCAGGTACTTGTGATGCAAAACA